CCGTGGGAGGCAATGAAGTTAGATGAGGTCACCGGGATGGGATTGCTCTGGACCACAGGGCACGGGCGCTGTCTCTGGCCCTGTCCATGGAAGGACACAGTGAGGCAGCTGTCTGAGGGCCAGGAAGCCGCCCTCAGCAAAAACCCCGCTATTGTGGCGACTTCTCAGATCCAGAACCGTGAGAAATGAGTGTGGGCTGTCTCAGCCACCAGGTCTGTGTGGGTCTAGTGAGAAGGGGCCCTGGCCAGACCCCAGACGTGCCGTCCCCAGGCTGAGCGGGGGCTGGCAGTGCAACCCTTGGCTTCCACAGATGCTCAGGGCGGTTGAGGGGCCCCAGACAGCCCCATCCCCAGTGAGTGGGAAGTGTTAGCTCAGTTGGAGAGGGGCCGGGATTGTCACCTGCACTGGGGGGTGACAAGGCCTCCAGCCTGAACTTTCACATCGAGTCCCTAGGCACCTACCTAAGAATCCCCAAACGCCTAGCTCACGACTCACCACTGACTTTTAAACCCCAGCAGTCTCTCCCTAAGTCCCCAACCACCAGTGCCATTCAAAACCTCCCTGACTTCCCATTCACAATGAGACAGTCCCCTCCCGCTTCCTGCACCAGGGCTGAAATCAAATGACCTCCTTTGTTCTGTGTGGGACTGACAAGCAGTGAAAACCCATGATTAGGGTATAATTTCAGAAAATTGATCTTCACAAGTAGCTAAATGGGGCTCCAACTTGCTCCACATGACCTCGTCAGAACCCTCCAGGGTCCTATGTGACACGACAGGGCAAAGTTCTGAAGGAGGCTGTGCAGTGCATACAGAGCCCTGCTCCATGCAGTGCATACAAAGCCCCGCACCCCGAAGTGGCTGCAGCAGTCCGCACAGATGCCAGGCAGACACAGGACTGGAGCTGCTCTGCAATTGTGCACAGAGGAGAAGGAACAGCTGCGGGGCAGGAAAAGGACAAATGGAAAGAGAAACTCCAGGGGAAAATGATCCCCTCGCCTTAGGGCACGGGTAATTGAATGAGGGATTTGAAAAGAGCCCAGGAGACCTCAGCTAATTGCTCTTGACAGCTCCATCATAAGGGACCAGGGAAGGGGCTTTGTCCCCTCACCTCTACCCACCCTGCAGGGGGCAGGGGCGGAGCTCCTGGCTCAGACCTGGCCCCCCTTTCCTGTTGCCCTCCCCACCCCCATTAATGATAAGCTCCATTTCCCTAAGAACTTGGTGGAAGGCATTTGATTTTTGGGCTTTTCTTGATTTTTTTTCTCCAAAATGGGGGTGTGTGTAGTGAACGTGGACTTGATCCTCTGGTTGACAGACAGGCACACTCAGGGTCTCCCATGATGGGAGCTGGGAGCCGTGGGCCCAACAGCAGGAAAATCCCAGGGAGTCATAGTTCCCAGTGACGGGAGAAGGGGACCTCTGGCTGTGTTGTCCCTGAGATGGAAGTGGGGACTGCAGCGGGCCTGGCCCACATCTTTGGGGGTGCAGAGAGGTAGGTGGTTCAATGAAAAGCAGCACAGTGAGCTGGTCCCGTCACAGCGGGCTGGTCACATCCCCACAGGTAAGGGTCAGCTGAGCAGCGTTATCTCCTGCGTGGTCCTCACTACTGGTGTGGGGTAACTGTCTGTTCTCCCAAAATGGCACCTATCACAGGGGCGTGGCGATCAGAGGTGTGACCAGCGACTTGCTTGGACCTTGGAGGCAGCCAGGCCAGGCGGAAAATTCACCAAACACCACGGCTTCTCTACAGAGGAGGAGGGGCCCCATTCTGTGCCTGGAAATCACTGCACAGGGTCGGAGAGTCCCATGCAAGCGTCTGCAGGCTCCCACAGTGACAGGGACCTCACAGGGCTGCTTTATCCTTAGGTCTAAGGCCAGAGTGAGGCCTCTCCAGGGCTTTTAAAAGCTTGAAGGGCTGGGAATGTAGCTCAGTAGCAGAGCGCTTGCCTAGCAGGCACAGGCCCTGGGTTTGCTCCCCAGCCGCGGGAGAAAAGGTCCTTCCCTGCTTGTGACCAGGAGTGGGGGCTGTAATTTAGGTCCTCTGTGTTTGAGCTAGGCCTATCTCCCTAACCCCCAGGAATGACAGAGGGCTCAAATCAAGTGTTGGGGTCCTCTGCAGCCATCAAAACATCTCTCCTCAAGTGGAGGCTGTCAGGGGAGTCCTTGCCATGAGGACAGGAAGTCCTGGTCTCTCCCAGGCTTTAAATAGGGAAGAGGGGACTGAGGGACAAAGTCGGGGACCCAGGGCCAGGGGGAAGAGCACGGGATGAGGCTTCCAGTTGCTTTCTTCGAACCTTCCTTCCAGCCTCTTTCCAGAGTTCTGCTGCTATAGCCCCTACCAAGGATAAAGTGGCTTCTTGTGAGCGTAGTCAGCAGTGAGAGGGGGTCCATCCCAAGGAGGGGCCAACAGTGAACCCGTGGGTGTGGCTGGCTGAGCATCCCCTGGAGCTCGCACTGGTCTCCAGCAAATGCCCTTGCTGGTCCTTGTCCCTGACCAGAGCTGGAGCAACTCCCTGCGCACCAGGTTTGTGGTCTGTGACTCAGGTATAAGACATGAAAATAGGTCTGACACAAGGACGACTGCTCCTATTGAGAACACTAAGGGCCTTGCAGCAGATCCTGGCTGGCCTCTCCAGGACCCTTTCTACCTGTGCCCTGCTCCTCAGGCTCCTTCGACAGGCTTGCACCTCACCACAGGGCCTTTGCACATACTGCTCCTTTGGAATCCCAGGTTGTAAGGTTTAAAGGTGGTGGGTACCTCAGTTTTTGCTTCCCGCACCTTCTTGGTGCACATGTGGCAGCACCTCACGAATACTGGTTGATAAAGGCCTCCCGTGCACTGGGCACACAATGGGCACTTTTCATTCAGTTCCCATAATGCTCCAGGGTGATCAAATGGCGGTGGATGTGCACTGAAACTCTGCCAAACACCAGACCACCTTCTCTTATTCTCATCACCACCCATTCTACAGATGAGGACACTGAGCACAGAACAACAAGGTGCTCAATGACAGTGGAGTCGCAGTCCCTAAGGGATGTGAGTGCATACTGGGCCACCTGGCTGACCACCAAAGGTGGCACTGAATAGTTTTCTAGCAGCTTGGGTGGCTTGATACCATGCGGGTCACACTCATCCTGCCCTTTGACCTCTAGTGGTTGTTGGCTTAGCAGCCATCCAGGCCCAGGAGCCCAGATGAGGGAACAGAGCTGGTTGGAGACCCATATGGAGGGTGCCTGATAGGATCAGGCCCTTCCACCCTGTGTGTGGGGGCTGCAGTGGGGAGCCCAGAAGGCCCCACTGAGGACATGCATCTGTTGTCAGTGGAGGGAGTGACCAGGGTTGTCCCCATAGCATCTGAGGGGACAGGCTCCAGCTGCACTCTCACCAGGCCCACTGCCTGGTCTTGTTTTCAGCACAGGTGGCGATGGGATCCAGGAGCTTAGCTGGAGACATCAGGTGACCAGCCAGCCTCTTTATCCACCTCCTCCCTCACCTGAAGCATCTCTCACCTCTGCACACCTGCCTCCAAACCACACAGGTCAGCCCAACCCCGGACCCCGGCTCCAGGAAGTCCGGGCCACGAGCGTACAATAACCTCAATCTTAGCTTCCTTGGTCTCCTCAGCACGGACACAAAAAACCCCCAGCTCTCACGGGACCTCTGGGCAGGGAAGGCACTGTGGGCTGTGGGGGACAGGGCTCAGGCCGAGGGGGACTTGGCATCAGAATGATGGGCTGAGTGGAACTGTCTGGCTTCAGTCTCACTCTGCTCCAACCCATGGTGACCCTGGGCAGACCAGCAGACTTGGCCCAGACTTTGTGGTTCAACCTGCCCTGAGCTCCCAGCCTCCTCTGAGCTGCTGCCCGTGAGGGAGCCTGAGGTTCCCACTCGGCCTTGGCACCTCTTTCCACCCAGTAAGGGGCCTGTCTGATCTTTACGAATCTAAGACACCGCCACGTGCAGTCAGTATGGCCACGGGGACTTTTGTTCTCACGGTGTAATGACTGATTTCTTAGTCCATTCCACTCCCGGTTCTACCATGCACGTGGGTGGAGCAGCAGGGGGTCAGATGAGACTCCAGGAGACCCCATGGGGCTGCTTTCTTGCCTCTGTTTCTACCTGTGGCCCCTCTGCACAAATGCAGCTTGCCTCATCTTTAGAATCCGCCCAAGGACCTCACACCTCTTCCCAGAAGCCCCTCCGGACTGCTGCCCCTAGGAGTCTTGACCATTCCGTCCTGTGTGTCTAGAGGTGAGGGCTGGGGCCCTGGTGACCAGTGTATGTGTGTCACAGCTACCCCTGGCATGGATCCTATGCCCCTAGCTGGCAAAGACTGTGACAAGTCCTGTTTGCACAGAAGGGACAGGTCCTATTTGCTGACCAAAACGTCTGTGGACACACACGGGCCATCACTTCCCAACCTCCCACACCTCCAAAGCTGGAGTCTGGGCTGGAGGGTGGGGCTGGGATTCGGCTCTCCCTGGACCCTAGGGAAGCAGTCGCCAGCTTCAGACTTTGGTGGCCACCTGCCCAGCGATTAGGACGTGGTTGGGATCATGGGTTTAACTCATATCTTGGCTTTCTGGTGACTCCAGCAACTCACACCCTCTCTCTGGGCCTCAGCTTCCTCACCGTAAGAAGGGCACAGGAGGCTTCAGGGATGCCAGGAGGAACTAAGAAAAGATGGCACCCAGGTTGTACCGTGTGGTGATGGGCAGGAAGGCTGTGGAGCCCTTGGTCACCCTGTCTTGAAGCAGCTGCCCATCCTGGACGGACAGCTGGGCCTAGAGTTTCCCAGAACAAAGCGTCCCCCTGGCTTCCCTGGGGCTCTCAGCCAGGTGGGACAGCACAGACCTAGCCCTTGGGCCACACGGGCTGATCTCCACCTCCAGCCAAGTGTGGACACCCTCCCTGTGGATGACCTGAGACAGAAGACAGAAGGGAGAGGACTGACCCTGTGTCCTGGCCATGTGACCCGTGTTGCAGGGTCCCCTTACCCCAGAGGGCCATGAAGATGGAGAAGAAGACGGTGGCAGGGTTGTCAAAGAGGTGACTGGCACGGGCTGTGGCGCAGGCCGAGCTCAGCTTCCAGTAGCTGCAGGTCTTGTCACAGAGCGGGCACATGGTGATATTGTTTTTCTGGTCACACATCTCCATGCTGCAAGAGAAAGAGCAGTCCTCAAGTCACTGTGCCACCTGGATGTGACACCTGTCAGGGACTACGTGGGGCGGTCACAGTGGGCACTGTCAAGGCAGGTCAGCTAGCTCCAGCCATGCCCCATCCCTCTGTCTGCCCTGGGGTACAGCCACCAAGGCTGTCACTCAACCCTGAATTTGGCAGGGCCCAGGTTCCGTTTAAGGCCCAGCTCTCACCATCTTACTATTCCTAGTGATTTTTGGACGGGGGTCTCCCATTTGCATCTTGCACGGGGTCCTGGGGCTCTGTAGCTGGGCCTGGAGTGCATGCACATTCATGTCCTGCTTGGGGCAGGAGTGAGTGGCCAGCAGAGTGTGACCCTCGGGCAGCAGCATCTGCAACCTGCACGCCCGCCACCTCTAGAGCCCAGGGTCCCCAGCGAGACCAGCTCTCTCTCCTCACCTGGTTGCTGTCAAGCTGTGCTATAGTGTACAGACTCTAAGGGGTTACAAGTTCAGGTCTGGGAAACCAGGAGAGAAGCAGGGTAAACTGAGGCAAGAAAGTGAGCTCTTGGGCCAGGTGCAGTGGTACACTCCTGTAATCTCAGCTATGTGGGAACCTCAGGTAGGAAGATTGACTGCAGCCCAAAGCTGGCCTGGGCAAAAACTAGACTTTATTTGAAAAATAACCAAAGCAAAAGGGGCTGGGGGACGTGGCTCAAGCCTAGCAAGCAGGAGGCCCTGAGTTCAAACCCAAAAAAAGAAAAAGAACTCAGGCTCTTTCTGCACCCTTGCTGCAGGCCAGGCCCCAGGCTGAGCTGGGCACTTGCCCTGAAAATCTGGCATTGAGCCATGGTCACCTGGACACCTAGGTGTCATACTGAGACCTGAGTGTCCACCTGGCCTGGACCAGTACTGGGGCCTACAGTAGTTTAATCCCACCTTCACAGATGGAGAAAGGAGCCCAGAGAGGGAAAGCAATTTCTTTAGCGCCACACAGCACAGAGGGAATGGAACCCTGGTCTCTGAATCTTCAAAGCCTTTGCAGGAATGGCCTTCAAGGGCCACAGGGATCCCTGTTGAGATGGGGCACCTGGGCTGGGTCCTTGCTCATCTGTCCTACACTCTGTAACCCTGGCCACGTTCTCTAGGTCCAGACTCAGTTTTTCCTTCTGGAAAATGAGATGGGGGCCAGAATACAGCTCTTCTGGCTACTCCTGGCCTTGAACTCTTCTTCCTGTGAACTTGGAACAGACCCTGATCTATGTAAAGTCACCCAGGCTGCAGCGCTCATTCCCAGAGGTCAGGCGGCCGTATGGGGAGGTGAGGGAAACTGAAGCAGGTGCTTTTGGGCTTTGTTTTGTTTTTTAGATTTCTGAATGAATGTGAACTCATGGGCCAGCTCATGTCTGGCCCACGGGGTGGTCCTCCCCTGTGCCCAGCACGGAGGGCACCCGGCTCAGCTCTCCTCCCTCAGCAGCTAGACATTTCCTTAAAAACTGCATGTGCCATTTTGTGAGCGCCAGGGGCCGTGAGGACCTGGGACTCGGGGAGATGAGGAAGTGTGAACGTCAGCCAAGGTCGCTGTCACGGAGCTCCGGGACGTGTGTGCGCGTGCGTGCGTGCGTGCGTGCGTGGGGGGAGGAGGGTCAGGCACCTGCCTGCAGGACAATGTGTGCTCCAGAGCCAGCTGCTCTGGGCTTGAACTTCAGGTGGCTTTGGGCGGGCGACTCTAAGTCCTTCTGCATCACTCTAAGACAGGGACTTATTTTTGCCAAAAGCACTGTCTCCTCACCTGGGCACACAGGATAACTGGAAACAGGAGAAAAGCTGGGCCCCCGCCTGCACTTTCCACCCGTCTCCTTTACGCTGAGTCTCTCTCTTTTACTCGAGGTGACTGAGTCTGAAGTCACCTTGGATTCCATGAAGGATCAGACTGACTGGTAACATATTTGTGACAAAGGACCAAAAGTAACTCAAGAAAAGGATCAGCAGTGCCTCGCAGGACAGAACACCCCCCAGTGAAGACAATGACCCAAGACGGGGAGGGTGCACCCTGGGCAGCAGTCATCTGGTGGGAACCGAGTCGCTGTCCTCCAGCGGTGGCAGCGGTGAGCGGAGGAAGCAGAACTGAGATGAATCAGGAAATTGCATTCCTCTTGCCCCTGCCCCAAACCTCCTCTATTAAACCCAAAGCTCACGTCAGTACCCAGAAAGTGGGTTGAGCACTTGCTCTGCCTCCTCCCACGCTGAGCCATGCCGGGTCATAAGCCCCCTCTGCCTTCACCACCGCTCGCCCCCGTATTTGGCGTGCTGGGAACAGTGGCGGGACCTGACCGTGGGACTGCAGAGCGGGGCTTCGGGCCTGGAACCCAGCTGCTCTAGCTTTCCCATCTGTGGAGTGGGGTTCTGATAACGAGGAGCACCGTGCTGTTGGGGCGTCAGGAGGATGAGGCAGCAGCATGTGTGACAGTCCTTGCAATCAGCCTCACAGTCACCACCATTACTGTCATTGTGGGAGGGACCCAGCACCCCAAAACTGTACCAACTTCAACAGGAGCCCAGGAGCCCACCTGTGGGGTCCACCTCTTGCCCCTCACCAGGCATCACTCTTCTGGGTCCTCTCCAGGGAGCAGAGGGGACAAGATGTGCCCTCTGTGAGTGGCCTGAGCCCTGCTCCGGGGAACTGGTGGGCAGAAGGCCACCAGTTGTCTTAGGCCCACAGCAACTCCCCCTGCATGGGGGTGGGGGCCTGGAGGCCTGGGGGGTGGCCTCGGGGCAGGGAGGGCCAAGGCACCCCTCTGTCTGCCTGCCCGGGGGCCCCATGGCGTGTCCCAGCCCTGCTGTCTGCCAGCCTCAGCTTCCAGTGTAAAGGCCACCAGCCAGACAAAAAGCCTTTTTCTGATGCCTAAACTGGGCCAAAATACAGAGAAGGAGCAAGAAGTGCCATTCTTTAGAGAGCATGGGGGTTGGGCAGCACTGTGCTGGCCATGGGGCCTCCTGCATGCTTAGCCTGGCTGGATGGGCTCCAGGGGACCACACGCCTCCTGCTTCCATCCGAGGTACCAACTGGGACAGCGGCTGGGAATGGGACAGAGGCTAGGGTTGGGACAGACCCCACGGTTGTGACAGATCAGGACAGTGGCTTTGCTTGGGTCTCTGAGTAGCTGCTGTTTGCTTTTCTGACCTTGGTCTCGGGCAGGCAGACAGGGGATCTTGGTGCCCTTTCTTGGGGAGTCCGCAGCCTGGGCTGGCACAGCCCCCTCCATTCAGGAAGGAGGAGACGGGGACTTCCTAGGCTTCTTCCAGGGGCACTTTGGGGAGCCTCACCACCTTTCACTTGCCATTGCCCTCAGGCTTTGAGCTCTTGCAGACAAAAGCCTGCCGTAGCGTCCCCCAAGTCTGGGCTGCTTTGATCGTTCCCACAGTGGCACAGGGACCTTCTATCATACAGCAAAGAAAAGAACTCGCTTTCCTCCGCGAGGACAGAAATGACACTGGAGGAAGGAGGGGGAAGGTTCCAGATGGGTGGGATATTTGAGAGGCAGTTCACATAGGAAAGCATCACTTCAACAAGAATTGGACCAGATGTGGTCTTCCGGGCTTCCGGGAGCCACCTCTTCACCAGCCTTAAGGCTCAAGGCCTCTTTACTGGCCGGAACTGTGGTGCACGTGGCGTCATTAGCAAGTCCCAGAGCTGACGCACTAGGACTTCTGACACCGAAAGCTCCCACAAGGCAGCACGGGGTCAGATTACCCGCAGGGCCTCAGTGCCCTGGCAGAGTGCTCAGGGCACAGCAGGCCCTGACAGACGCTGGAGGCCCCTCGGCATCTGGACCTACCACGCTCCGGCCTGGGGACGCGAGCACACGACACCCTCATCTCTGGGCTGGCCTTAGCCATTGATGCGGGAGGGGATGAAGTGCTGCCTGGGAGAACAGCCTGCTCAGTGAGGCTGGGCTGCCTCTGGGGTCTTGGCCATGTCCCAAGGCCTCCCTACGTGTGATCTCGCGTGGCGTCCAGCAGAAGGCACACGGGAGCTAAGCACAGACTGGGTTCACTGTGGGGCACCGTCACTGGCCATTCCTGAAAGATTTTCTCCAGCCTGGGGACAGGAGGACACCATGCAGAAGGCTCAGCAGGTAGAGTCCACTGCCCACTCCCACCAACCTTAACCGCACAACGGAGCCGGGAGTGTCCTCTTTGTATAATGACCAAGCAGACAACAGCAACAAAAAACCCTTCAAAGCATGACAACAGGCCCAGTGTTTGACATCTTCCCTCCACCATGAAACCTGCTCCAGGACCACCCTTCCCGGAAGGAAGCCCACCTGGAGACCGCAGTTAAGCTCTGGAGTGTGAGCATTCCGTCCCCACAGCCCGGCCTTGCTGGGGGTTTCTGCCGGCATGGCCGTGTGTGGGCCAGAGTCCTAATGAGTTCTGTCCCTGTCATAGGGGAGGTTGTGCCTGGTACAGGTGGGGTCGCCACCTACCTGGGGATGTTTTGGTCCACAGTGGCGCAGCCATAGAGGAAGACGATGATGCCCACGATTGACGCGGGGATGAGCATCTGGGTGTACGCACCCAGCCAGGCGAAATACAGACCGATCTTCTCCCCGAAGTACTTCCTGCGGCACACGCAAACGGGGACAAGCTTAGTCCCACCCCAGACCACGGGAAACTTGTCACTGTGCTAGAGGAGTGGGGCTCTAAGACATGTCAGGTCCCTGAGTACTTTGCTCTTTCTGTACTTTTCTCTCTCTCTTTTGGGGTTTGGACTCCGGGTCTCGCTCTTGCGAGATGCCCTTCCACTTGAGCCACGCTCCCAGACCTTTTTGCTTTAGTTATTTCTCAGATAGTCATGCGCTTTTTTGCCCAGGCCATTCTGGACCACAGTCCTCCTACCCCCACCTCCTGAGTATCTGGGATTACAGATGTGTGCCACCACGCCCTGCTCACTTTTCTCTTTACAAATACTTGTTTTTGAGACAGGGCTCCACTCTGTAGCCCAGGCTGGCCTGGAACTTCTGATGCTCCTGCCTCAGCCTCCCAAGTGCTGGAACTACAGGTGTGCCCCACCATCACACGCCCAGCTCACTTCTCCCGTGTCCTGAGGAGGCAGCACACACTTGGTGGGTGGGGGGTAGTGTATACCTAAGGTTGTTGACTATATCCCAAGTCTGTTCAGTGTAAGGACTGCAGTGAACCTTGGTGAGGACAGAGATGCCAGGGGAACCAGTCATTTCTCTCTAAAATGTGTTGGAACTTAAATGGCTGAAATGGCTTTTTGTGGGCCAGAACCTGGTCTGCAAGTCCCTGCATGACCCGTTGCCCAAGCTGGTTGGCCCTCCTTCCTGCCTCAGGGCACTGGGTTCTCTTGAACCTCTTACAAATTCCTACACACTTCGGATCTGCTTTAATTTTCCCCTCAATACCACAAAGCAGGAACCCTTGGCAACCTCCCCGCCCAGCCGGGCTGCGGTGGATTCAGGATGAGATGTGAACGAGTCTGGAAGGCCCATCCTTTAGCAGACGTGAATAATCTGGCAGGGTTGCTGAACACAGGGAGACCTGGATGCTCCCACACAGCCTTCAAGTTTAAACAGGTTCCAGGTAGCTGAGCATTCAAATCGTTGTGACACACAGTGATTGCACCCGACGTACATCCACCCAGGGCCCGACTTCCCACAGCCTCTGCCAGACAGGTAAAGCCAGACTGGGACCCACGTACCTGACCAGATCAATGGGCTGGTACTTGTAGAAGACCCCATAGCTTGCCCACTCCTCGTACAGGAGCTGGAGAGAGAAAGGGTGTGGAGCTGGTGAAGGTGTCACTCGCCAAGGCTGCTCCCCAGGACACAGAGCAGCTGGGGCCTAACCCACCCCCAACACATATTCATTCATTCATTCATTCCTCCATTCAACAAATGCTTATCAAGAGTTTGGCTGTATACTGGCCAGAGTGAGCCTGCATTTCAGGGTGCAGAGGATGGGAAAGATGCTTCTGGCAGGCTGTGGAATCCCAGCTCTTTGTGATTAGGTCAGGACAACGCCTGACATTGTGATGCATTCAGGATTTTCAATCTTTTGGGTATGTTAAACCATTTTTTTTTTTTTTTTGCGCTAGGGAATGGAACTCAGGCCTCTACCATTGAGCTGTACCCCCAGCCCAAACCCATTCTTTATAAAAGACATCAAATCACCAGTTTGAGCAGAGAAATATCAATGGCAAAATTAAAAATCAAATCTCATGGGATGCAAAGATAGCTGGAGGTTTCTCTCTGGGGATAGGCTGCCTGATTAGCAGCACTCAGTGAAATAAATGAAGGCGCACGTGCCATGCTGGCCCCGGGCTACAGGCAGGGATGGTAATGAGGTTGGTGGATTGTGTGAACAGGGAGGGGTCTCCTGGGGGAGACGTGTGTGGGACTGCTGGTCACCAGAACTCCATGCACACGAGTAGTTAATGGGTCACCAACCTTTGCTCACATTACACCTTCAGCTGCAAGGCCACTAGGGAGGGGACGACGCAGGGAGCCAAGGGTCTGGTAGCTGACTGAGGACCTGGAGCAGCTGCTTGTCAGAGGGGAGCTTGGGTACCCCTCTCCTCAGCTCTAAGCTCCACTGGACTTAGTCACCTCCCAAGTTGAGAGTTCAAAGTCATGGATAGAGAGTGGAGTCTTTTCAGTGTTTCTAGGACTTTTTCTCCCAGGCCCTGGAGGGCGGGCAATGGAGTGGGAGGCGTCCAAGCATCTTTTGTGGAGGTAATACGGGGGACTGATATATACATAGACCCCAACTAACAGATAGGGAGAAGCCCCCAGAGACATCCCCACCCTCCCCAATCATGCACATGGAGGGAAAACTCCTGAAATCCACAAGGGGCCACGGCCACTGTGCAGCCCCCCCAGAGCTGTTGGCCTCACCCACAGTTTGCAGGTGACTTGCCAAAGGTCACCCTGCTGATCAGAGGGGAGCCAGGCTGCTGTGTACCTCACAGTCACCTTGAGCAGGACCAGAGGAGCCAGTGAGGGCTGGAGTTGCCCCAGAAATGCACACAATAGGAGGAAGGTGACCCCAAGAGTCCTTGGGGCTGCCACCAGCAGTGGGAGGCACCCAGAGCTGTGTCCAGCCCCACACACCTCACCAGGGGGACACAGGAGCCCTGAGAGCCCTTCTTTTGTGGCACAGCAGGTCGAGACCATATGGTCCTGGGTTATCCCTTCCCTGCTCCCTCGGGAGAGGAACGGGGAGGAGGCAGGGCTGGGGACTGCCTTGTGGACTTCACACTGGTCCCAGCCTCTTCTGCTGTGGCTTGGTGTGCATCCTCTTCCCTCCATGTCCACATTTAAAAATGGGGGCAGGGGCTCCTATACTCAGATCCTATTGTGGAGACATGAAACCATCACCCAGGTCCTCTCTGCTAGGGACTGAATACGTATGTACCCCCAAACTCATACTTGGAGTCTGTATCCCCAGGTGACTACACTGAGAGATGGGGCCTTTTGGGAAGAGACTGGGGTTACATGAGGTCATGAAGGTGGGGCCTTGACTCTAGGACTAGGGTCCTGTAAGAAGAGGCTCTCCTGCCACGTGAGGATGTGGCAAGAAGATGGCTGTCTGCAAGCTGTGAAGACAAACTCACTAGGAGCCCAAGAGGCCAGCACCTTGACCTTGACCTCCAGAACTGTGAGACAATTCAAGTCTGCTGGCTGGAGGTATTTGGCTATGGCACCCGAGCTGCCTAAGATCCTCTCCACTACTGATCCCCAAGCTCCAGAGCTGATAGGCAAAGATTCCTTCAAAGGAGTCTTGATGATTAGAGTTGTGGAGGCAGCCCATGGAGGCCCTGTCTCCACACCAGAGAGCCACTCAGCCAGCTGCCCCCAAAGGGTTTCTCACTTTCTGGAGCTCCTCCTGTAGCTCTGAGAAATACCCGAGAGAGCGTAAGTGCTGGGCCTCATCCACAGTCAACAGTCACCTTTAGAAAGCAGGGCAGAAGCTTGGCATGGTGGCACACGCCTGTAACCTCAGCACCTTGGAGGCTGAGGCAGGAGGATGGCGAGTTCCAGGCTGGCCTTGGTTACGTAGGGAGACCCTGTCTCAAAACACCGACAACAAAAGAGCAGCAACTTAGGAAAGCAATATGCATTCTCCATCAGCTGGGAGCAAGCCTTGCTGTGGAAACCCTGGGTTTTGCCTCTCCTGTTCTGCACAGAGCGACTTTTTCTTTAAGATCCCATTAGAGTCATAGATAAGATGCACTCTCGGGATTCTAGGTTCTGAAAGAACTCTAGCCAGGCTGGCCACTGGGGAGGAACCTGACCAGCGTGTTGGCTCTGCTGAGCAGGGTGGTGGGGGAGCTTCCTGGAAGACCCTTCCCCGGCCCCTACTTGGCACTGAGGGGCGAGGAGCACCGTCCTTCCTCCCAGGCCACTGCATGCTGGCGTGATTTGCACAAGTGGGCTCCTGTGCAGCATCTGTGTGTCTGGTCACACAGACCATGACAAAAAGGCCAGAGGTTCCCTGGGAAAGATGGTGAGGTGTGCCATACCCCAGGGGTGAAGCAGCCAGCACCGACCTGGAAACCTCCTCCCAGACAAGCTGGGGGTGCATCAGAGGAGGGGGAGGCTGTAAAGGGAGGGAGAGGAGAATGGAGCTGCCATTGGGGAGAGGGAGGGAGAAAGAGACAGAGAGAGGGACACAGAAACTGTAGCTGGACACAGAGGCATTGGTTAGAGACAGGGAGGGAGAGATGAAGACATCAGGAACAGAGATAGCAAGAGACAGACACAGGGACAGAGACAGACGGAGAGAGGACAAAGCCTACACTAGAGGAGGCATAAGGATGTAGGAAGAGAAGCACCTGAGATGCCCTCACGAGCACATGGCCACATCACGAGGTCACCCTGAGACACGCTCACGAGGACACAGCCATGTCACGTGGTCACCGAGTCACAGGGTCCAGCTGACCTGCACAGCCTCAGCAGGCCCATACCGTCCTGATGGAGGTGGCCGATGGAGGCAGCCCCAGTTTCTACATAAACCACCCGACTTGGCGGACTTTTCTTCCTGCCAAGAGAACATCACGCCCTGTGCCGTCAGGCTGAGAAATCACAGAGAGGCTTCCCCGTCACCACGGGCAGGAGGCCAGGGATGCACCTTAGTCTTGGTGAGCGGGGAGGAGTCAGGCCTAGGCTGGGTGGACTGAGAATCGAATCAGTCCAGGGTCTATAGCTCCAGCCACAGTGACTGAAGCCTTCCAACTCTGCACCTCGAAGGATCCTGGCTCAGCCCACAGTATCTCCAGCCTGGATCTCTCTCTGGACGCCTGGCCAGGCAGGCCCCTCATGGTACTGATTCAGTCCCTTGTGAGTGGATGTCTTGCCCTTGCAGCCCCCTAGAATAGAGGACCAGGTTTAGCTGGTCCTCATTCCGTGAGGATGCTGCAGTGCTGACCTAGAACCGACCCAGAGCACAGTATAGCATTTCAGGAATGATTGCTGAATGAATGAATGAATGAATGACCGGTTGGTCCTGTGGCTTCCAGTTCAGCACAGGGGTAGGGTGACCTCAGCCCAACGCCATGCCCCCAGCAAGTCCCTTCTTAGAGGTCTAGCTGTTCCCTGCTCCATGGGACCCCACATAGCCTCGTCTCTGAGGGGCTCTGGCAGCAGGACCCAGAAGCTCTCCACCAGGTCACCTCTGTAGGCCTCAGGGAGCCCGGTGCTCAACCAGCCTTTAGTTCTATGTAGGTCTAAGCTTGCCCATGGGAGGGGTGCTGGCTATGGGACCCCAGTGTTTGCGATCCCATCACCAGGTCGATGGCTAGCCTGCACTCAGTCTCCACCCAGACCTGTCACTTGCTTAGATACCACTGTCCCACCTCCAGCTCAGCATGGGAAAACATCCTTTGCTGTTTCTCTTATGCCTGTGAGGTACTCAAGGCCAGGCACCCAGGCGCCAGCCAGTCACAGAGCAGTCAGAGAGAAGCCATAGGCTTTGTTATAGGAAAGGCAAAATTTTCAGACCCAAGTCACCTAAAATGGAGCCATGCTGAGAGAGTGAGAAGTTCTCCAAGGCTCTGAGTTAGGACCAAAACACTTATCTGACTTTCTTCCCATCCATTCCTACTCATCCATCCATCCATCTTTCCATTTATACATCCATCCATCCTTCCATTCACCCACAGACCCAATCCTCCTTCCTTCCTCCTCCCTCCCTCCTTCTCTCCCACCTCCCTCCCTCCCTTAACTGGCATCATTACTCTCTGACTAGCTGGGACACTAAATCGGGGGCAGGGAGAGGCACATTGGAGGAAGACAAAGTGACTGGGCTTGAACACCCTGGAGCTGTGTTGGCTGGACCTGGCACACAGAAGAGCCCAGTAAATATTTTTTGAATAATTCTGAATGAGACTGTCCTGCACCAATGTAACCATGACCCAAGTAGACTCAAGACTAGAAAGGCAGCCAGCGTGGCTGAAGCTTGGGGTGGGGTGGGGGGAGTGGGGAATTGGGGTAGAGGGGCCTGTGATCCAGAAGATGGAGTCCAGCCATCAGCGGGTAGCTTGTGTCCATGGGGAAGGCAGGGGTGTGGGGAACAGAGAGTGGACTTTAAGGCCAGAGTGGTCAGAAAGGCCCATGGAGGGGACAGTGCTTCTCCATTGGGATTGGATGGGGACATTCTGCAAGTCACGGGTCCCAGACAGATGCCAGATGTTACACTAAAAATAACCAAATATGTAATTTTTGTGCTAAATCAGATAGCATCTTCATTGGATTCCTAGGCGGGCAAGTTTTATCAAGTACCAAAGACTTCAAAACAAGTATGGGGCTGGAGGGAGGCTAAAAATGAACATTCCACCCACGCCAGGATTTGGGACCAGGCCACCATTGTGAGGCTCCCAAGGGAGACTCCCCCCCTGCCACCTCTGGAAGGACCAGTGAGGGGAGCGGTAAGAGGTGGAACCAGTGGGGTCCATGGAGGGCCGTCCCCAAGAGGGAGGCCTGGGTTTGTTTGGGGAACAGAGAAAGGCTGACGTGGATGCCAGGGGAGAGGCTGGTGTGGGCTGTGGGCATGGGCGCTGGAGGCCACGAAAGAACCTTCCTGACTATGGAGCACAAAGAGCAAATGGCTTAAGGGATAGGCTCACAGAGGAGGTGGGGGACTTCCTGAAGAGCCTGGGTGGGAGGAGTAGGGACCCCTGCTGTTGGGGACTGGGGCTCTGGTGCCCCTGTGGCTCCTGAGTTTATCTGTCCTGGGTGAATGTGAGGCTAAGCCAAGTGCCCCTTCAACGGTGGCAGTCATGGCTGGCTCAGGCTGCCCCAGTGAGCCCAGAATAGACTGCAGCCGGATTTGGTGGAGGAAGGGGACGGGTGTGGAAGGCACAGTCTCCTCTCCTCCACATGTTCACAATCACGCTTGTCTCCCGAGTGTGGGAGGGGAAGTAATGGCACCACGAGTGGCTATCTCTCAGCTCCTTCAGGGAGACCCCCCAAGGGCAAGTGGACCATGCTCCTGCCTCTGCTGGGACCCCCTCATCTCACACAGTCCACCCGACCCCAGCAGACCCCAGCATCCTGACGGCGCCTTCAGTTCTGCTCCACGTCAACTTACTCTTCTGTCGTTGAACTTGATGTTTTCACCTTTGTAGTCTCCCTGTTAAAGAAAAGGAGAGTTTGGTCACCGAGTGCTGCCTCCCCAGCAGCTTAAACTCATAGCATTTGAGACACAAACTCCAGCAGCCCTCAGTGACACAGATGAAGAGGGTTCTGGGACAAACTTTCACGCAGAGGATGAAGGTCGACCAGGTGTCCCTCTTTGACCGATGAGAAGTGCCTTGTAGGTAGCGTCATGTAGGATGAGCGTGTGCTCATGTCTTGTCCCTGAGCCCACCCATCTAGGGAGGCCCCCCCCCGCCCCGTTTCACAAGAGACATCTACACTGGGATCCCAACACGTCTTTCTTTACACATAGCTGCGGTCAGACCTGGGACTCACACCCAGGCTTCTAAATACAAATGGAGAGAAGGTTCTAAAAGTTGGAAGTGAGTCCAAAATATCAAAGGTTGACACAATAACCAAGGAAGAACAGGGAGAGAGGCTCTGCCCAGTTGGGGCAGGGCTGGCCGTGCCCCGTCCACTGGTCTTGAGAGTGGCCCGGTGGATACCCTTCCTGACCCCTTGACAGCAGGAAAGACCTGGCCTTGTCCTCAAACAGGCAGCCCAGTGTGGGGTCTGTGGGTGGAGGTGCTCCGTGGTGGCCTGGCCTGCCTCCTCCTGTCTCCAGGGATCCCTCACCCACCCAGGCCCGACCCCCAGGTCACCCACTGCTTCATGAATGGCACAGTCACACGATTCCAGGAGTAGTTCATTTATGCCAGAGGTCTGTTTGATGGTGACCTCAGGGAGCAGATGCCAACTAAGAAGGAAGCCAGAAAGCCATTGAGTAGCCAACAGAAATGTCAAGTCCTTTCTGTACACTGACACCCTCTAATTACAGGAGACCTCAGCAGGGTCTCGCTCAGAACATGTGACTCGTACTCAGCACACAATGCTAACTAACATTGGATATCTGGTTGACAATAGCCAACGGCACCTGGTCCGAGAGAGATTCTTGTTGAATGAATGAATGACCACAGTAAGCAAGGGACAGAAGGGGGGTGAGGATGCTACAGGCCACACAGAGGCCAGCAGCACTGATGCAGCAGCACAGCTTAATGGGGAGGAAGACAGAGTAGGCAAAGGTGAATAAAGCGAGTATGGCATGGCACGCAGTGAAGAGCCACTAAGCCCTCGCTGAGGTCAGCTGGAGGTCCCTCCACTGTGCTCTCTGTTCAGCCACGTGGGCCGCACGTGGTTTCCTTCAGAGGGACAAGGCCAACCATCGGATACTTAACGGGGGCGGGGGGTGGGGTGGTGTCCTTCGTTCGTTACAGAAAATTTATGGATGGAAGATTCCTTATTTCCTAAAGACATTGGGAGCCACAATCTAGAGGTCCCAGACTCTGCTCTCTTGGCTGAGTGCCCTGGGCAAGCCACCTGAGTTCTGCAAGCCTCAGTTTCCCCACCTTTTAACATGGGAACCAGTCTCACATTGCAGCCTCCCGTGTGGCTGTGTAAGGGCATGTGACATTTCTTACACGTCGGTTCTCCGAGATGGGATGGGCATCCCACCACGGGCATGGTGGACTGGGGAGTCTTGAACCCACCCAATCAGGCAGTCAACAGAATCAACTTCTAGGACAGAGGTGGCTGTGAAAAGCAGGAGGTGGGGGTTGGGGGGATAAAGTAGCATAGTGACCATTAGCAATTATTTTTGTCCCCGGTTCCCCTACAGGGACTGTGACGTCAGGTAAATTACTAAACCTCTCTGATCTCCGTGTCTGCACCGTATTAAATGAGACAAAGTTTCCACTAAACACAGTGCGCTGCACACAGGAGGTTCTGGGGATGTTGCTCCCTTTCCTTTTAAGACTCAAAGGCTGATTCAAAGTGGACAGGAGGCCCTGAAACATTCTGGCTTCTGTGCCCCAACTTCTCCCCAGGGATTACCAGCGGGAAGGCCGAGCCGGGCAGATGGGGCTCTAGACTGCTGCTCTGAGGTCATGGGCAGCACTGGATAGCACTGGATCTGGGAGGTGGACAGTGGAAGGAGGTGGGAGCACCGTGAGGACCTGGGGTCTGAACCCTGTGTTTGGAACATTGACAAGACAACAGGTCCCTCCCCAGGCAACCAGACTCAAAGTGACTCAAACCCACACTGTGTTTATTGAGCACTAAGTGCAGAGTGCTAGGGTTTTGTGAGTGAGCCACCATGCACACCGAAAGGTGGCCACACAGTGGCACCTCTGTGGGATAAGGGCATCGGCAGCCCAGCTGAGGACGGAAGAAGTCACCTGTGCAGCTTGGTATGGACGCTCTGTCTCCTGGGGAGGGGGACAGTGAGCAGTGCTGCAGGCAGGCATTGCAGCATGGGTGAAAGCACAAAGTAGGGAAGCTGGGTCAGGTCACCCCAAATCCCTGGCCCTACAGTGTGGAGAAGGCCCATTGGGGGAGGTGACGAGGACAAGTAGCAGATGAGACAAGCATCTTTCTCTGGCTGGCCTGTCCTCTGCGTGGAATGCCGGGCGCTGTTCCCACACCGCCTTGTTTCAATTTTGCCTCTTAGCCCTTTTCTGATTGCATTTGCTCTGTTACCCTCTGCTGCGCTGAGGATTAGATAGTGCAAGGCATAAGTCTTGACCCACAGATGGGGACACTGAGGCTCAGGGAGACCAACTCAAGGGACTGACCCTGCTTGAGGCCAAAAGGAGTGGCTGGGATGGTAATCCTGGTCCCTGGACTCTTGGGCCTGTCCTCTCTCTCTCCTGCTTCTGGGCTCCTAGTCTCTGTAGTAAAGCCCATTTGGAAAGTTCCAGAGATCTTCTGTCTGGGGTTCCCACACTGCTCAGGCCCCATAGCCTGATCTCAGTGCCCTGCTGAGCTCTGGCCCCGGTTTCCATGGAGACAATCATGCCTCTCTCTCCACTCCAAGCCATGGCCATGACTATATTTGTCTGGGGGAGACCAGTGGGATTTGGAGATCCAGTGCAGGAAGCTGGCCTCTTGCTCTGTAGAAATGGCTACACACAGCACCCCAGTCGCTGCCAGAGCCCAGGGTGGGGGGCGGGAGCCAGGGAAAACATGTGGACCAGCTGGCTGTGAGGTGCAGATCGACTGGGCACAGTGTCTGCCACAAACACCCCTGTCTCGGCGGGATTGTTCTGCCAGCAGAGACGGCCTCGCATGGGGGAACAGGAGAGACCTGTGTGAGGCTGACATTTCTAGAGAAGCCAAACAGGAAGCCATGACCACAGGGAGCTCCCTGGGGGGGGGGCGTGGCCTGCGGGGATTCGGGGGTCAGTGACTGCAGAGATAAAGTGTGTGTCAAGGTTACTCACATCATGCAGTGGGTATGCAGCCGAGTACACGCCATTGGCCAGCAGGCTGGTGATGCCTTCAAAACAGAGGGAGAGAGATTATGGGTCAGACAGGTCTCTGGTCCCCCACTTGGAAGTCAGAGCGGTCACAGGGCAACCCCAATCACGGGGGAGTTTGCTCAAAGTCAAACGCACCTGGCTACCCAGAGCCCGGCCACCTTTCTGGGGTTCTTCCCAGGGTAGGACGCGGAGGGGTGAGTTATCGATTGGCAGAGCTAGGAAGACACAGAGGAGACCCCAAGAGGAACTACCGCCAGGGAGGAAGGAGGTGCGAGCAGCAGCCCCAGACTTCCGATGCACCAGCTACCCCCGCCTGCCTGAGGGCAAGCCTGCAGACTGGAGAGGTGGATGCGAGGGGTTAGAAGGCTGAATCACGAGAAAATGCGCGGATGGGAAACCGATGGTGTCAGAACACACACACAATTTGGAATTAGGCTCTAGGTTGATTGGAAAAGCAGAAGGGAGGCCCCACACTTACCGTACTTCCCACACTTCCAACTTTTACTTAAAAGGGCAGGGTCCTTCCTTCTTCCCTCTCCTTGCCCTGTTTACACATTGGCTATTAGTTACCTGGAAGGGCCTGGAAGGACCAAAGCTGAATTTGGGGGACAGAGCTGGTGGGGGGTGAGGAGCTCACGGGGCAGCAGGAGGAGGCCTGGTCTTGCTTTGCTGGCCCCAGGACCTGCGCTGGCACATTACAAAAATAACCAGGCCTGCACCTGCTGACAGGTGGACAGCGTGCCCAGCCCCAGAAGTCGGTACTGGAGTTGGGGCAGGAGAGTCAGGGCCGGGCATGGCCAAGCAGGTCCTGGGACCTTCATCTGACACAAGGCGGGGGTGTATGTGGAGGGGGACCAGCACCACAGAGGGGTTTCCATGAACCCCTGCTGCTCATGATTCTCTGGCCTAACACCACTTTCTAAGTGTACTGGACGTTCACCGCAGCCTGGCAGCTTGGCCTCGGTGACTCTGCTTGACACCAGTGGGAAAGGACCTCCTGGGAACGCCTTAAAAAGGGACCATCTCCCCAGTCAGTGGTCAGAGATGGTCAGGGGCTCTGAGGGACGCTCAGGCTCACAACTAGAGAAGAAAGGAGCCTGTGACCGAAACCACGCAGAGAAATGAAGAGTCCATCTGTTCATCTGCCGTAAGAAGTGGACGTAGGGTCAGGGCCAAGCCTGCGGCCTCCTCACCCTTTCCAGCTCGCTCCCAGGGTGGACCTGCCACAGGGCCTTGCTGTGTCTGGTAGGCTTGTTCCCCACTTTCTTCAAGTCTCTGCCCAAATGTCCCCTCATCACAAAGGCCTTTCCTGGCTGTGGATCCTAAATTTCTTAAACCCCCAGCCTCCCTCCTCCCTTAAGATCACGGTCTGGTTTATCTCTTCACTTAGTATTTGTTTCTTTCCCCTAAGATATAAGCCCTGACGGGCAGGGAGCCCAAGAAGAAGAGTCCTGTGGGGGAAGGGAACCCATCATTCCCCCACCAACTGTGTGAAGCGGGGGCAGCAGAGAAGTCACCTCAATCTCTGTCCTCTATCCCTAGCAACAGGGAGCCAGCCCTGCCAGGATCCTTGTGGACACCCACACAGACCCCTATACCCCAGGAATGACCCAAGCAGCCCCAGACCCTGGACTCCGCAGGCCCTCACAGCAACCACACACATTTCTATGGAGAAGACCCTGCGGGGACCCGATGGGGAGACTGAGGTCTCAGATTCAGCCTTAGACTTGAGCCACGCCACCCATCCTCTGGTGGTCTTCCAAAGCTTTGCTCTGGCAGCTGTGACCTGAAGAAGCACTTTCAAACCCAGCCCCTGTGTTTACCTGCTTCCTTTCTCCACCTCCACCAGCCTGCAGAGCAGTAGCACCTGTCTTTCTGGAGTTTCTCGATGGCTGAGGGAGCCAGAACGAGGGGCCAGGCTTCCTGGGTTCCTCCTGACCTGACCCCTGGATGGGGCTTCACTCCCACAGATATAGCACTTGGGCTCAGAGATTTGGGGCCTGGAAGGGTGTCTGTGTACTGGACCTCGGTCACAATGGTTAGGATCTTGCTGGACTCCTGGCAGGATCATCTGCCCCCTGCACCCTGGCCTGTCCCCTGGAGTCTCTGCACCGAGGCCTCCCCCCGCCACTCTGAACTGTACTTCCTGCAGCATCCTTTCCTCAGCAGAAGCTGCAGCAGCAGGATGAACCTGCCTGTATGAAGACTCCGGCTCCTCTCACACCTGCTCTGTCCCCTGTGGCCACAGCTTGGGCCTCACACAGGTTCTCCATGTGACAGAGGCCTCGCTTTGCAGAGGAGGAAGACTAGGAAACATAAGGAGCTTGGCAAAATTTCAGCACAGCAACCTGAGCCTCAGCTGCAGGTGAGGGACTGTGTGGGAGTGGTCCCACTTAGGTGTATTTGGGGGACTCTGAAAACCCCAGTTAGGAGGAGCCCAGTCTGCCCAGCATGGGGTGCTTTCGTGCCACCTGTGGGCTTGACAGGCCACACCACCCTGGCTGCTTCTTCCAATGGACTGGAAGAGCTGCTTGGACTGTGGCCCCTGTGAGACCCTGAGTCCTTCTGGTGGACTACAAGGGTTCAGAGCCCTTGGACTGCCCCTTGCTGGTCTGTCTAGAGTCAAGGTTACCACCGTTGGCAGACCCTGTCCACGTGCTCACAAACACTCAGCAGGGCCGTAAACCTGCCTGCGGCCCTGGAACGCCTCCCCTTGCAGCTGCCCAGCCCTCAGTCTGAAACCATTACACAGACCTAAATTGAGGTCCTTTAAAAAACCCCAAGCTGGCTGCCCACCTCCCACAGAGATGATTCAGAGGCATGAGTACACTGGAAACCACCATGAGCTCGAGTCCCAAAAAAGTCCTTACCCATGCTGTACTTGGCCTTGGTACACGTCGTTCTTTTCAAGATTTCATAGACCTATTGCAGAGAGACAACAAGGGGGGTTGTGGGGGGTGTGGTTACCCAGAGGGCCCCGCGGCAGGGCAATGGCTGTGCTCTTGTTGACCAGATGAAGTTCCTGACCAGAGCAGCAGGTAGGCCTCTGCAGGAGGATCCCTGGGCTTAGGAACAGTAGGGCTGGAGATCTGAGACCCCTGGGTGAGCAAGGGCAATCTGAAGAGTCCCCATACTGCACTCCTCAGAGGGACAGACCAGCCTGGGCACAGTGCAAGGCTATGGGCGCCTCCTGGAAATTGTGGGCCACTCAGCACTGTAGTTGGCCGGGGGCCCTGGGGGCCACTCACTGTCCCTTTGCTGAGACGTGAGCGAAAGCAAGGACCTCCTGGAGACAGTGCCAAGTGTTCTAGGAGCCTGGGAGGGGTACATGGAGGCTCCATGTCACTCTGGGCCCTGGATCCCACTCTGGCCCACGCCCCCTTGAAATAGTTCATCCAGTGGCCTCTGGAACCCCAGTCAGGGAGTCTGTCTTCCTAAAAGCAGTGGGATCTTGAGTACATTCATCACCACCCTGTGCCTCAGTTTCACCAACTGCAAAATGGGGAGGGAGCAAGCTGCTCTGACCTGCAAATGTCCATTTCAGTACATTAGCTTCTGTAGCTCCTTCAAAAGCTTCTGTAGCTCCCACTCACTTGGGCAAGGCCAGTGTCCCTCAGTGGCCACCAGGCCTGTACCACCCAGCCCTGCGGCCCCTGCCTTGGTATCCATCTGCCAGCAACCCCAGCTGGCAGTCCTCTCACACACAGAACCTTCTCCACCCAGGCTGTTCCTTTTGCTGGAGGTGCCCATCTCCTGCAGACCTTGGTGTGGCTGGGTTATCTTAATAAAAACCCAGAGCAGCCCTGCTGTGTCCGTGTCTCCTAACCCCTCCCTTTCTACCATGTGATTAACTTGCTTCACGCCTCTCCCCTCCCGCTATCGAAGGCATACAACAGGTGCTCAACAGATCCATGCCGAACAAAGGAATCACTTGCTCAGTTGTTCTCAGTGACCAGTCACCTTCCAAATCTAATTGGGTGCCCTGTTTTGACTTTCTGATCCTAACAAAACTACCTCCTCCCTTCCACGCGTGACCACCACTGCTCCACATCTGCCTTCCAACTGCTCCCCCACAGCTGGCCCCTAGCAGTGTGCATTCTGGAACAAATGTGACCACATCTGAAACCTTACTGCACCACCTCCTATGGCTCCCCAGTGCCTCTAGGCTCACCCTGTCTAAGACCCCAGACCAGCACATTGGGCCCTTTTCCTGCTGGTCTTTGACTTTTTATCTGCTTCCACACTGGACTATCCCAGTGACAGGAGAGGAGCGGACATGTGTAGGAAGGGCTGTTGTCATACCTCCACACCTGGAATGGCTTCATCCCAACCCTTATACTGTCACATTTCAAAGTCCATCGGGCCTGGCTAGCCAAGGGCAAAGATCTCAATCGCCAGGTTCCTCTGGAGCACTTGGTGTCTTACAAACCGGCCACCAGGGTGTCTGGGAGACACTGCCCTTCCCCTGCCTCCCTGTCAGGAGGAAATGGAACCATGGCTCCTTCAGTCATTATCCATTTTTCTGGGTTGACTTATTCTCTGTGACTAGGTGGTTATAGCCGTCACCACTCAGGGACCACAGACTAAACTCAATTTCACAGCAGATTCTCAACAAGGTGTCCCAAAGCTCCTGAGCTGCTGAGGTCCCCTCCCCCTCAGCTAACTCCCCAAATCTGCACCTACCCCGTGCTTCCAGGAGCACCCTAGCACCCCAGAAAGCGCCTAAAGTCAGGGTGCACACGTATGAAAAAAACGGGCACGTGACTCAGTTTACACAGCTGGTTATTCCAGTTCTCCCCAGTGTTACAGTGCTGTGGAAGAAGGGACACCGCACGGCTTCTCCCAGGTGGCCAACAGTGTGCGGGAGCAGAGCTGCCTGTCTTGGACACGCCGGCCTGAACTCCACCGGGGGCTGGTGTTTTTGCCTGTGCTCCTTGTTGGTTATTATTCACAAGATTTCATGGCTAAAGTTAATCAGTAACACCATGAAAACCACGATCACAATGGTGACTGGTATCCATGCACCTATCCCGATGGAGGAGCACGGCTACCCTATATGGAGCAGGGCAGACTCATTCTCATTCGGGATGAGTCCCAGGCTTGGGAACCCTCCTGCAGTCACAAGGCACAGAGAGCAGACGGACCTTTCTGTCCTACTGTGGCTGGAGCCCCCCCCCATGTCAATGTGACCCACACCGCTGTCTCGCAGGTGACAGGAGACTGACTGCCCACCAGTCTCAAAATGGAGTTGATGAGAAGAGTTATCTACACCAGGCCAATCCGTCACCTCCTCCCAACCCTCGCTGCTGCCTGGCCAGGCTGGGCACTCTGGACAGGAGGAGAGAACGAGCAGAGCGTGGCTGCCAGGCGAAGCTCTTGTTTAGATAGAAATTGGGTCCTGTGCCATGCACAGCCCCGGCTTGGCTGACAGACAAGCTGGCAGCTGATGGATAAACATTTAAGCCAGTACTTTGAATAGGACAGGGTGGCCTGGTCAGACTGCAAGCCTCAGCTGGCTTAGCTGGCAAAGGCCTGGCGACACAGTCTCACCCCTGAGCCTTGGCCTCTGCTGCCTGTGCCTCCTGCCCCTGCCTGAGTGCTCAGAAACTCCAGGCTGGGGACATGCCAGCCTGTCCCTGAGGAACCACGGGGGCCTTCTTGAGGTTACAGGACCTACCAGGACACCCGCAGCACACGCAGGCCCTCGGCCAGAAGGCCTCTGCTCCCAAGCCTCCTGCTGCTTTGTTCTTTCTCACGGTCCTCCTCCGAGCACAGCCATCCCCTGGGCTGGTCACTATCCTCTAGTTTCATTATTCTAATTATTTCTGTCACAGGCAATTAGAGCTGGCTTCCACCCCAAGGAATTTCACCGAAATGAAATTATCATCCACGTCCCCAGAGTCCCCTGCTCATGAGGCAGTTCCAGCATGCCGTACTCACTATTGTGCTCCGGGTTTTGCTGTCAAAGAAGGAATCCTTGTCAGATAGGTCGAACCTGTGCAAACACGGGGAAGGAGACAAGGTCACTTACTAGGACCCCGGAAATCGTCCTGTCTCCATTAGCAACAAGCATGAAGTGGATCCAACTGTGCGTGCACGAGCCGTCCATCCCTGGTGTGTGCAATGGCCTGTTTCATCGGTCCTCCCTGGGAGGCTCATAGACCTGTGGAGGAAGTAGCTCCGAGGCAGGTGAGGCCAAATGCCCTTCCTGAGACTTGGCATTGCTTTCATGACACCCTCAGCTGTAGTTTTGAAAGCCCTGTTTTAGTGGGGGGGTGAGGGGGGAAATGAGAGGACATAACATTCCACCATGACGCACATCCAGATTTGAAAACAATCTTCCTGGAACCACCAAATGGTTTGCATTCGGTGTCTTGGGCCACACAGAGATTCCCTGAGGTCGCCGAGGGCAGAGGGAGTCTCTCACTCTCCAGAGGTCTCAGGGGAAGAGTGGGGAAGGGCAGACTGGGTCTCCATTTCCAAGGAGCCTGGAAGTGAGCTGGGCGCTGGCCAGGCAGGGGTCTCTCCCTTTCACACTCCTGAGCTGGTGGAGGGAGCTGGGGGCCCTTCCTGATCTCTGAGCAGTGCGTCCAGCCCACCAGAGCTGGGAAGTGCAGTGGGAGAAGCAGGAGGCTGCTCCCAGAGACCTACACTTGGAGGGTAGGGACCTCAGTACCGAGCTGAGGCATGGGTGCAGGCTGCCTGCTCCTCTGCCATGCCGACAGGCTGTGGTACCTGGGGATGACCCCAGTCTGCTTCTGTGGTCTCAGACCCTAATTCTTCTATACCCACCTCTGCCCAGCTCCTGCTCTGCCCAACAAGGCCCTGGGGAGGCCTTGCAGCTGCCGCTCCCCCAGGTGACTACCCCACTGCCCCTTGGGAGCATAGGCTTGGCACTGCCAGGCAACGTGATGCTGGCTGCGGGCCCCTGGGGCCTCAGACTCCTGCTGGGGTGCTTTCAACTGCTCCCACTCCGAACTACCTGGCACAGGGCTGCTCAGGGTGCAGAGCTGGTTATTATTCACACCAGAGAGACAGAGTTGGGTAGGCGACACCAGACCTCTGCCTGAGTGAGGGCCCGCGTAAGTTTTCCTAAATGTCACCAAGCTGGACAAGATCCGTACCCACTAATTCTTCAGCGAACAGGGCTCTCAGCCTCCTCTGGGCTCAGCGGTGGCAGAGCTGTTGCAAGAAAACACTCTGCAGGCCAGATCCCCTGCAGAATCAGCCCGCGCTCCTCGTGCCAGGGGGCGAAGACCATGCAGGGAGTGGGGGTCACTTACAGGTGCTGCTTCTCCCGGGAGAAGGGGTAGAAGAGTCTCTTCATGGTCTGGGGCCTGTGCTCGGCCACCCTGGGCTGGATGGGGTCTGTGATCTTCTGCAGGACGGTGCTGATGGTTTTCAGGAGGCCCCGGGTCTCGCTGATGTGATACATCTAGGGGTGGCATCAGTTGGGAAACCCGTGTCACTCTGCTGAGCCCTGACCCTTGAGTCCCTTTCTTGGACCGTCAGGGTAATGTCCCACTGAGATGGAGCGTGCTGGTAACACAGCACACAGGGCCCCAGGTCCACCCTGAGAGCTCGGCATTTCAGGGAGACCTGGCCAAGAACTCGATTAAACCCTGTTCTAGAAAACATTCTCCCAAACTTGACTTCTGTCTCCAAAGAGGTAATCCAAGTGGCTTCAGTGGATCTGAGGCTCTGTGGGCCACCTTGTCCCCCCAGCATGGCTTCCCCCCACCCCACACACGAGTAGACACGGACGCCAAGCCCAACTTCCCCATCAAACTGCTTCTTAGCCATAAAGTTTTCAGAGATTAAAAGGAAAAAAATCCCAGCAAGCTAGGAAATGTAATTAAATTGCATATGATAAATTAGTTGCGACCCCACAAGCATCAAAGAAGCAGGGCTCCAAGTTGAGCTGGGTTTGTATTAATAATAAATTCCTGTGGCAGGAGGGAAGGTCTTCAGCCTGGATCTCCTCCCGCTAGGATTCGGTCTGGGGTCTCTAGAGACCACCCACGGATGAGCTGTCTTGTTCTCCATGATTGGGACCTGGGAACCTGGAGTCCTTGTCCCATGGAGCCACACTGCCTTCCCAGGGGTGGCAGGGATGTCCACTTGTCTTTTCCCAACAATCTAAAGCCTCATGGAGACTACTGCCAGGGGTCCATGTGCCACCCAGGCTTGGTATTTTGGAGTGCAAGTGTCACCACCAACCTTCTTTGTCGGCATCTTCAGTTTCAAAAACTCAGCTTCTCGGCACAGTACGTTCCAGGGCGCATGGACCTTCACAAAACCGGTCCCGTGAATTTTGGTCTAGAGGCAGAATCACAGTTCTCCATCAGGGGGGCGATGCGTGCTGAAAACCATTTTACCTTCTGATGCCACCACACTCTGGGGGCAGTTGCTGTGTGTAGCTCATCCATCACCAGTCCCACCCCTGTCAACACCAAGCACTGCTGGGTCCCCTTCATGCAGGTGGCAGGATGCACAGGAGAACAGAAGGGCCCCCCACATTACATGGGGAACATTTAAGAGCCAGGAGAGCTTGGCTGGGGGTGGGGAGGTTGGCCAGAGGACCTCAAAGAACCCGACTACAAAAGAAGACGTTTCACAGTCCGGAGCCCAGGCCCACTGAAGTAGACCTGGGCTACTCAGGGCCCTCGGGCTCCTCCCCGGCATGGTCAGGGCCACCCCACTGCCTGCTTGCAGCCTAACTCCCAGGTTCCCTGCGTCTATACTGCTGTTGTCCTCAGAGTAGGCAGTCTGGTCAGGGCAGGATGAGTTCCAGTCCGGCTCCCCCATCACAGTGCCAAGAGACTGGATAAGGCACTTTGCTCTGTCCTGAATAACAGCTGAAGGTCACTAAGGGCAGGGTGGTGAGGAGGCAGCCCAAGTGGAGGGCTTCATAAGGACAGACACCAAGCTGGGCATGGTGGTGCATGTCTGTAATCCCAGCATTCAGGGGGCTGAGGTAGGAGGATTGAGAGTTTGAGGCCAGCCTGGGCTACATAGTGAGAGAGAAAGAACTGACTCCGGCCACCATCACTACCAGCTGGACAGGAAAGGAACCTCTGCTCACCGTTTTTGCTGACTGGAGAACTGAGGCTTGGAGCAAGGAATGATCCTACAGGTCCCAGCTAGCAGGGTGGACAATCCAGGTCATACTGGCCCACGGTGTTCAGAGTCAGCTATAGTAAGACTGCCGGCCCCTAACCCTGCTTCTCTGTCTGAGAAGGGGCTTCGTCAAGGGACCAGCTACCAGGAAGTCACAGTACACTTGTCATGGACATGGGGCATTGGCCAGACCTGCCACACCTGACCCCTCCTCACAGCGAAAGGCAACCGAGTCACAACCACCCTGAGGACAGCAGGGTCCTTGCTCCCTGGGCCTTGGATGGCAGGCTGGGTCCCAGCCTGAGACCTCACTCAGTTCACCTTGCCAGTCTTGGGACTTAAGGAGTCCCATGGGGCCTGTCCCACCACCCGCTCAGGCAGCAGAGCAGCCAGCTGGGACCAAAGTCGCCTGGAGATAACTTTTTTAGCAGGAATTTGAACTCAGGGCCTTGCACTTGGTAGGCGGGCACTCCACCACTTGAGCCACGCCCCCAGCCTTTTTGGCTTTAGTTATTTTTCACGTAGGGTCTTGCTTCATCCTGGCTGGCCACGATCCTCCTAGCCATGCTTTCTCTGAAGCTGGGAGGACAGGCACGTACCACCAGGCCCAGTTTTTTATTGGTTGAGATAGGGTCTCAAGAATTTTTTTTGCCTGGCTTGCCTCAAACCTTCCTAAGTAGCTGGGATTACAGACATGAGTTACCATTCCTGGATACCTGGTGATGGCTTTTAAGAAAGCAAAATCTGTCCACAGTAGTAATCAAGTGAGCTGAAACCCACAAAGGTGATATTCCTGAGTCCAAGGCAGAGCCGGCAGCCAGGCAAAGTTCCTGGCCTGGAAAGAGATACTTCAGGCAGCTCCATGGTAAGGGCCCCCTCTCCCAGATGCCCAGGTTCATTTGCTACTTCTCTTGTCCCTCCTCTACTGATGCCCATCCACGGTCACTTTCACTGACTGTCTTCTTCCTATCACCATAGCACTGGCCTCTGTGCAGCCCCTGTTCAGGGGCCTTGCTCCGCTCAGGTCTCCTTGCTCTCTGGCCCGTGGGCTGCACCCAGCAGACCCTCTACACATGTGCATGGAATGGAGCACAGCAGTGATGACCACGGTGGTGCTGACGGAGGTGCTTGCCTCCAGCCTCTTTCTGCAGTGTGTGCTGTAATTCACTTAGTCCTCACAGCTAGGTTCCACCGCTGCACTTGCTTTTCAGCTGGGGATCTGAGACACTGAGCTGTGGCCTCTGCTAGCTCACTGCACTGGTGTCCTGGACTGTTGAAATGGCCCCACCTGGGCAGCTTAACATAGAAATACATTCTGAGTTCAACAGGCCAGAGTACAAAATCCAGGTGTGGAGGCCGCGGTCCCTTCAGGGGCTCCCAGCGAAGGCTGTGCCTCCCGGGGGCTCTAGGTGTTCCTTGGCTTGTGGCTGCATCCCCCAACCTCTGCCTCTGTTGTGACCTGGCCACCTCCCGTGTATCTGTGTCTCAAATCTCCCCATGACCTTCTCTCCCATTGGTTGTAGGGCCCACCTTAAATCCGGGATGACCTCACCTACAAGTGCTTGATCCCATCTGCAAAGACTCTGTTCCCGAACAAGGCCATATCTTTCCTGGCCAGGTGGACATGGCTCGGGGCCTCCCTTTAGCCTGCTACACAAGGGAAGCGGCGGGGGGTTGGAGCCCTGAAGGGCTTCAGCAAGAGCCTGTCTGAGTATTTGGGAAGTTTCACAGATGCATGGTCCCACAGGTGGGCCCAGAGTTGCCATGAGAGGGCGGCAGGGCCAGGGCACTCCAGGTGCCCAGGCCGAAAGGGCACAGGCACAGAGGTGTCTGGTATGGGCTCTCCCGGGGAGCCTGGAGCCCAGGGCTGGAGGGTGTTGAGCACAGGCTTGATGTCCTTCTGCAAGACAATGCATCTGAGCTCAGACAAGAGTAGGCAGCCCCGGGGGCTCAGGTGAGAGAAGCCCAGATCCTTCTGCTGCCTGCTAGGGGCTCTGGGAGGTCTGAGTCAGAATGCTACCCTGTCCTGTGTGATCTCTGGCAAGTGTCTTAACCTCTCTGTGTCTCCATTCCCTCATCTGTAAACTGGGTAATATAAAGCCCAATTTGCAGAGCAATGGGCCTCTGGTGCTCTCAGTAGCCCTACCCCTGGCTTCTGGATGCCAGGAGAGGTCAGAACATGGAGCTGAGCTCAGGCTGCCTCTCTGTGACCACGAGGCGGCTGAGACCATGCCTGCTTTAGCCAGCCCAGCCGCAGTGGGTTCCCCACCCTAGTGACTCACAGGCTGACATCATGGGACACCCCTGAGTCAGGAGAGATGATAGTCCCAGCCTACGTGTGGTAGAGTCTGGCTTTTCCTGTTAGGGACCCAGATTTATTTCTGTGTACCACTCACCCGCACGCAGAGACTCAAAATATATTCTCCAAGTCCTTGGGGACCTGTGTCCATGGTGGTCACGGAGCCACTGCCTGCTGCCCTCCTGCCTGGGAAAACGTGCTCCCCTGCTTACGTGAGCAGTGGGGTTTCACCCAGAAAAACATCTGGTGAGATTTGGAAAAGGGGTCGTGGGACCAGCTAAGTAAACACACATCAGGATGTTTTAAACGTGGTACCCAGCATGGCCACAGCCCGGCCACAGCAGGAGGAGCCTGCAGGAAGGCTGTGTCCCCTGAAACCCAGTGACCTCCCCCCTCCAGGAGTAAGCTCCTCCCTGCTGCTCTGGCCCATTGTGCTAGGGTGTTTGGGGGTCACAGACCCACTGGGGCTGAGAGTCCTGGCTGTGAGGCAGGGCAGGGGAGACACAACCTGGCCAGGCCACAGGGCTATGGGAGGGGGCGGGGCAGGACCCCCAGCCAGAGAAGGCAGAGGAGAGGGGCTCCATTTTGAGTCCAAATGAAAGAACTCTGACCTCACTAGAATTGTTCCCAGTGTTTTCCTTTCAGGAGGAAGAAGAAAACCACAAACAAAAAGTACAAACTCCTCAAAGGGCAAGGACACCTTTCACACCCCACTGTCTCCGGCCCCGCAGGTCTGTCATGGTGGTGGGTCCTGAGCGCCTCCACCATTCTCTGGACGCCCTGGCATTTGCTTGTCCTTCCCTGTCAGCACCACCTTCTGGCACAGATGTAAACTGGGACAGATCTGTGTGCTTAGTTGTGTCCCCAGGACAGAGAACAGAGCCTAGCACTAGTAGGAGCGTGAAGGTATTTGAGAGAGCCATGGAGGATCAGGTAGGAGCTGATCTTTACTGAGTGCCCACTGTGCAGCAGCTGGGAGCGGCCCCGGCATTCACACCCTCACCCCTGCTTTCCCCAGACCCCCGGGTGGTATCAGTGTGTCCACCTCAGTGAATATGGGCGAGGGACAGAAGATTGGGAGCCACAAGGTCCAGGTGCTTAAGCAGTGGGCATGACACAGGAAGCCAGCCTGGGGCTAACCTGCCATCATCACCCTCCCCACTCCTCCCAGAGGGCACTGGTCGTGGCCCACAGGACCAGGGATGCATGGTCACAGGTGTGGGTCTGGGTGGGGAAGCTATTTCCCATAGTTCAGTTACTGGGGACGACCCTGCACAGGGTGACCTGGCTTCCCATTGCACACATGGAGATGGAGCCACACCAGTCATTAGAGGAAATTCTCTCAAGATGCAAGTGCTCCCCTTCCCCCACATCCTCTTGACCCTGCACCAGACTCGTGTCCCGAGGGCACTGGGGGTCAGTGTCAGTCTCAGTGGGTCGACTCAGAGTAGTTGCTCTCAGCCAAGAATGTACTGGGACAGGCCACGACTGCCCTCATCCCCAGCCCCAAGGCCTGCTGGGTGATGGCTGTTGTCCTAACCAATGACGCTCGAATCAGCTGAAGAGATCCATTGACTCCTGCTCTGTGGACGGTGGGGAGATCCCCAGGGGCAGCCCTCTGGACACCCAGAGAGAAAATTAATACAATGACCTCCAAGGGACTGAGGGGCTAGGAAGAGAGTAGGGAGCCACAGGTCATGGTGTGGGAGAAAAGCCAGACCCAGACAGGCAAGTAGGCGCCAATCTTCCCCAGGCATCACCAGTAAGGGAGCTCTGGCTGGGTGATGAAGTCCCCAGGAGGAGGGGCAGGACATTTCTGCAGAAGGCCAGTCTAAGGTGGGGTAGGTAACCCTTCAGCATGGTGCTGGGCCCTGAGATGGCTCTTCAAGTGAGCCTCAAA